AGTCTTCATCTTCACGAACCTTAGAAACCTATCCTTCAAGCATAGAACATCAACATCTCCAATCCCTACACTTTAGTAAGAAAAGGGGAAGAATGGGGTTAGCACATTAGATGTACTAAGCATGATGACCATGCCAAAACATGCTTAAAAAGGACATTTGAGTTCAAAGTCATGCTTTTATGCCATTTTTGTAAAACTTCATGAACATTGATACAAGAGGAATAATAGAATTCACAACCAACATACAAAGTCACATAATTCACATTTGAACAAGATCACATATAAACCTTTACCTTCACCTTGAGCCTCCACCTCAAGTAACCCTCAAGCTATGCCTTGTGAAATGTATGTGCAGCGTCCCATACCACCACCCACACTAAGGCACCACCTTAAGATCACCAAAAGTGACTTACCATTCATCCTTTCCACCTTTAAACAATAAAGCATTTAAGAGACATAAACAATACATGAGTCATATCATCACATTGAGACCAACATCTAAGACAACTCTGAGTCATACTTGTGCAATGTGCAAATAGCATCCCATACTACTACTCACACTAAGTACTCCTTTGAAGTCACCATAGACATGGTACATTCATATACAATAGACATGACAATGAAGTAACTCATAATACAATCCAAGTATAGCATGCATATTTACATTTAAGAACTTAAGCCAACCTTCTTCATTAGATTCATTTAGGACAAATTCGAGCATTTAGAGGACTTTCATACATTAAGTTTGGAAAGAGACATAAACAATACATGAGTCATATCATCACATTGAGACCAACATCTAAGACAACTCTGAGTCATACTTGTGCAATGTGCAAATAGCATCCCATACTACTACTCACACTAATTACTCCTTTAAAGTCACCATATACAAGGCACATTCACATACAATAATTCATGACAAGGAAGTACTCATAATACAATCCAAGTATAGCATGCATTCTTACATTTAAGCATATAAGTCACATTTTTCATTAGCTTCATTACATTAAGAGCACATTCAGTCTTTAGACATTAGATCACCATTCTCATGAAAATCAGCATAAGAGCCCCTTCATTTCATTAACATTATAAAGGAACACACCAAAACCTCTATCAAAGCCTACTTGTGCAATGCATAGATGGCGTCCCATACCACAACCCACACTAAGTAGTGCATTCTTAAGATGCCATAGTTCATTAACATTCTTCGTGGGCATGAGCCTTAACCGACATAGACCATATGAGCTTGACATGGAATCCAGGTGTCACCCTCACCGGATAAAGGGATTCCTACTTGCCTAAGGTAGGACCATCGTTTGTTTAGCCTTAAGTTGATCCACTAGCTAGAACTATGTGGACACATAGTTTATGGGATAGGGAGATTGCTACTAGATACCCCACCTCAACTAACATATGAGTATCCATCTCAAGAGATTGCTACTAAGTGCCCCGCCTCAACTCACGTATGAGCAGCCATCCCAATCCATATCCACTCTGTGCTTGGCATTATTCCCATAGAGTGTTTGACATTCATTACATTCGTTCATTATGGGATAAGAGATTTCTAGTTGATACCCCACCTCAACTAATGTATAGTCATCCATCTCAAACCTGACATTCATTAAAAAGGGATGGGGATTGCGACTAGATACCCCACATCAACTAACGTATGAGTATCCATCCCAACCCAACATTCATTCATTGGAAAGCTCATAGATTCAAAGATGATAATAGTTTTTCACCTAAGAACCCCCTTATTGTGAGAAAGTCCTTTCAAACAAGTCATTATCATTCGTTTGAGTACAATTGAGTATAGCCTTTCAATGGACTCATTCTTCATTAACATTATCATTAAACTCATTCATTCATTCATTTATGAAAAGGCTACCAACATTAGATCTACCAATTCAAGAAATTAAGACATTAAGACAAGATATACTCATCATATAAGAAAAGGATACCTAAGCCTACCAATTCAAGAGATCACATTCAACATTACATTATAAAACCCTTCACCTTCCATCATTAACATTCATGAGTGTTACTAGAGAGATAACATTCAATCCTAACACAATTAGCTTCTAAACAAGATCATATTTCATTCATTGAGATCACACACATGCTTCACATCACATTCATATGTAAGACATCACAATAATACTTCAATTCCTCACACTATGTCTTCAAGGCCATGATCACAATATACATAGTAAGTAAATACCTCCACCTTTCAAGTGGATCAACAATTCAAGACAATTCTACTTTAACATGAAATTAGGTCAAACTTTCCCTTTCAATGCTATAATCACAAATCTTCAATTCACCAACAATTCACCGTAATTAGGCATTTATGATGATACAATTCAATAATCTAAATCAATTTAGGCATAATTCATCAACATTCATTCATAATAAACAAACCCACTTCATAAGTCACAATTTAGGAATTGAGAGATATCATCGGTTCATAGAGTATTTTCATCTTAAATCATCAATTAAACATCAATATAATCATAACTTATAATTTGAAAACGTTTGATGCAAGAACCCATGAGATTGAGTGAAACTTAGGGTTTTTCATGAACTTGAAAACTATGAAACTTCTTTGAAATTGTATCTAGGGTGAAAGCTAACCCTAGATGAAGGATCACCATACCTTTTACTTGAAAAATCCCACTAAAATATACCCAATAGCCTTCCTCTTCAAGACCTAAGCCTTCTTCTTCTCTTGGTCTTCAATGGAGTTCTTAAAGAGAAGATATTTTGGGAGAGAGGGTTTTGATTTGGGGAAATTGAAGAATGAAATCTAAAATACTAATTTAATGTTTTAATACTCTTAAAATACCTTAAAATCCTAGAAAAAACTGACCCCACACAAATTAGGACTTGGGGTGAATTTAACAATTCACCCCTAGCTTGGCCGTGTCACCTTAACAGCAAACATGAATGGTTCACAAAGCACCCAGCCACGGTTCGTGGATGGGGTCACGGACCGTACTGGTCCTCCATCAATTGGGACTGTGGCTTGCACTTTGGGGCCATGACACACGGAGGCCATCCACGGGGTGTGGATAGACCTACGGGGCGTGGTCCCCTTCCGTGGTCCACCAAGTTTGGGGCAACCTTGTGGTTTTAAGGGGTCTTGGGGTTAGACTTAGGGTCCTTCTCAAGGACCCTTAGGGTGGTCCAAGGGGAGTCATACCTTGACGTTTAACCCCTAAACCTTTCAACCAAGACTGTGGACAAAATTAAACCACTTCAAAATTCAAGACAACACAAACGCACACACGTTAGGCTCTAGTTTCACTAGTTCATTTTTAGGGTCGTTACATTGGACCGCATGTGCATTTTCTTTGCGATGATCATCCCCAGGTTTAGCCTTGACCCCTTAATGACACAACCCAAACAGGCTGTCTTGGCATGGTGAAGAATCGACTCGTTTTGGAAGGGTATGATCGTGTTGCTGATGAAGCCAATCCAATACCTCGCTTCCACATTAAGGTCCTTCTTTTCAATAGCTTATCCAAACTCTAACCACTTGGGACTGCCATTTGATATCAACAGAGCCAACCACTTCTTCATGTTCTCGAAAGTCGTCGTCCTGGTCTTGTGGAGACAGTTATCCTCAAGCCTCATAGTGTGTTCTAATATTACGTTGATGGTGGTAAAATGACATTGCACTTTCTTGCCCCTGACGACCACGTAGTCAACCAGCTTAAATTTAGTTGTTGGCTTCTTCCCAAGTGGTATCAATGTACTGGAAGCATTGTGTTGAGGCTCCTGATGCTCACCCTCACTCTCAGAAGTGGTGAGTTAAGTGTCATAGATGTCGTCACAGTCGGAGCTTGCCTTCGGTGACGCTGGTGCTTTGCCTTTACCTTTGCCTTTACCACCAGTTGTGGTGAGTTTTATGGACTTGCCCATGGATGTAGTTGCATCCTTATTGAGTGCAATCCCTTTTGCTTTCCTTCAGGGTGGCATGTTTCTTGCTGTGACTTTAGATCTAGCCATGTCTGCAAAACATCGGGAAAAAATTGGAACCAATTCAGTTAAATTCACAAAACAACTGTTGTAGAAAGACTCGCCAAATCAATTTGGCGAGCTAGATCAGGTTCACCAAAAGGATTGACTTTAAAGTTATGGCAAGTTGGCGATGGCAAAGGCTTTTTGGTGAATCGCCAACAGATTTCGGTGAGCAAGAGTTAACCCGCCGAAAGTTACAATGCAAAAAGAGTATAGGGTGCAGAAAAAAGGCGATCAAGAAGTCTTTCAGCGAGTCACCGAGTGCCTTTGGCGACCTCAGGCTTCTCGTCAAAAGTTACAGAGCCGAAGAATACATTTGGCAAGAAATTAAAGGCGAGATGGGGAACTTTGGTGAACCGCCGAGTGGTTTGGCGAGCTCAACCCAGCTCGCCAAACGACCCAATAAGCCTATTTTCAACCCAACTTCTCAAATTCGACCCCGCAACCCCCAAAAACTAAATCAAACATACACTACACAAATTAAAGTAAGACCCATAACACCCATTACCCCGGGATATTTAGACTTCTCCCAGTTTTGCCATATTTGGCCAATTGACGTCTTTGCCCTTAAGAATGATGTCATCCATTCTATCATTAGGAAAATTACATCTGTTGGCAAAAATACAGGTTACTCAAACTTCACCGAAACAAGCTAAACAACATGGAAACACAACCCCACAAAATTTAAATCATTTAAAAGAACAAGAATTTGGGATTTCAACAACCAAACCAATACGGGCAAGATTATCATCTTAAAATATGCATTCAAACATACTAATCCTATCAGAGAGTCCCAAAACACATCAACAATAACAAAAGTGAGGGAAACTGAAGAGTTTGAAAGTTTAAACCTTTACTTTAATGAATCGTCCAATTCTCACCCAGTCGGCGTTGTTAGTCGTGGTCGCCAATCCACTTAGCAAATCACCGAATGGATACTTATCTCACCGAGTTTTTTTACAGGACCTCCAGTTAAACTAGGGGTCCAAACGGCGGTCTGGGTCGGGGTCGTCGACTTCTTCGGCGATATGCCGACTGGCCTTTATGCTCGCAAACCTGTAATTTTCAACAACATTCCCACTTGTTCCTACATAAACAACACACCATTATTTCTTAAAGCAAAAAATAGTGATAAAAAGGTTCTTGGGTTGCCTCCTAAGCAGCGCCATAGTTAACGTCACGACACGACACAAGTCAACACCTAAACCTCATTTTCGGGGTTGGCCACGGTGTCACTACGGAACCCCCCTTGTCTATTTGGGTATAGATGAGGCAACACATGACCCATGAGGTTTTCCATTAGCTTGATAGATCTAGAGTGAGAGCCAATCATTGAACTTTTGGAGAATGATTAATAGCATATCCTCTAGCACTATATCTTGCTCATTAAACTTTTGGAGAATGATTAATAGCATATCCTCGATACGTCTACTCTCATTGTCCTACACATTCTCCGCTCATGAAGGGGTATGTATTTGCCCTTCTTTTTGGACAGCACCTCCAGTCCCTCAACCTTTTGGACCAAGGTATCCATCTAACCCTGCAAAATGACCAAGTGCTAGTCCTTCTCAGTATCCTTGTTGGTGTTAGACACAAGATCAAGGAGTTTTGTTGCGGTTTCATAGGAGTGTCTCATAAGACCACCTAGGATTAGTTGATCAATTAATCCTTTACTCCCGGAATTAAGACTCCGATAGAAGCATTCCAGTAGAAATAGATTGGGAATTTCATATGTTGGGCATTGTATCAACAGTGCTTTAAACCTCGATCACATCTCATGGATAGTCTCACCTCCCAATTGTTTGAACATTAGGAGATTATCCCTATGATTCAACAGTCTCAAAAGGGGATGGTCCATTTGGTAACCATTGTCACCATTCACACTCAGTCTTCCTGTTTCAACACAAACAAGCAAAACTAAACTAAAAATTACGTAAGTAGAACTATAACTAACAAGAACACACATTAACTTAACTAGAAATTCTCAAATAACGCCACTCCCCGGTAGTGGCATCATTTTGATTTCACATAGCAAGACACTACTTCCAGTTCAAGTGCCAATGATCGTGAGTAGTACTATAACCGAACTAGTGAGTTGGGGTCAAGTCCCAAGGGAGCGGTTTGTAATTGAGAATCAATAGATAAGCATAAATGTGTTCAAGTCAATTATATATATAAACATTTACGAAGAAAAACATGATAAATTAAAAGTTGACCCAAGTGTCAAGTATCAAAGGGGGTTTTGTAATCAATTATCAACTGAAACGACAACTAAAAACAAAAATACAAATATGGAGACGGGATTCTTGGGATGTGATAGGATTGGCTAAGGTAAACAACCGGGTAATTTCTATTGATAGTAAAATCACTACAAGATAATGGATTTATAGCTACAAAATTTAAGCTATGAATTTGAAAATCGTAGCTATTATTTAGTAATTGCCACAAAAATTTGAATTTTGTGGCTATATAAAAATTTGTCAAATTTCTTTGCCACGAAAATCAAATTGACAAAGCTAAATCCTAATTTTTGTTATAATTGCTAACAATCGTAGCAATAAGTACCTAAATAGCTATAATTTTTCTGCTACGGTGAAATTTTATAGCTAATTATAAGTTTTTGCCACGCGATAAAATTAACTCTAGCAATAGTAATCTTTTAGCTACAATATATAATTTAAAACAATTATTGTAGCTAAATAAATAATCTTGCTTCAAGTAATAAAAGATTGTGGCAAAAGTTTAATGAAATAGCCATAAATTATTTTGCTTTCATAATATTTCGTAACTAATTATTATTTTTTGCCACAAGCTAAAATTTATCGTAGTAATAATAACTTTTAGCTACAATACATTATTGTTGAAGCAAATCTCTAGCTAAACAATAGCTTTTCTTGAAGTTACAAAAATTGTGGCAATATTAGATAATATAGTCATGAATTTTTTGCTATATCAAAATTGCATAGATAATTATTCAATTTTGCCACGATCTGGTTAAAATTTGTTGAAGTAACAATAACCTTTTAGCCACAAGAAATGATTTTCCACGAAAATTTGTTGAAGTAACAATAACTTTTTAGCCACAAGAAATGATTTAAAATAAAATATTATAGCCAAAAAATATTATTATTTTTTAGTACTAAATAATCGTGGCAATAGTTGACACAAAAAGTATAATTATTTGTCATGATAAAATAATATAGCCATAAAACTATTATTTTGATAAATATTTCATAGTTAATAATTATTTTCAATCACAAGTTAAAATTTGTAGTACATACTAATGTTTTATCTATATTAAATATTTTTACGATTGAAATTACCATAATAATAGTACTTATATGGTCATAATAAATTAACAATAATATTTTTGGTATTCAATGAGAGACACAAAATATGAAGAGTGTCACAATCTAAAAAGAATAATTTTTTTTCATAGAAAAATTAATAAATGTTGACAATTTGTTTACAAAAAATCACTCTACAAGCTACTAGTATTTAGTGTATGATTTAACCCAAAAAAAGAAAAGAAAATCACATTGCAACTGAAGACTTTGTCAACAAACACCCTGTAGATAATAATAATAATAATAATAATAATAATAATAATAATAATAATAATAATAATAATAATAATAATAATAATAATAATAATAATAATAATAATAATAATAATAATAATAATAATAATAATAATAATAATAATAATAATAATAATAATAATAATAATAATAATAATAATAATAATAATAATAATAATAATAATAATAATAATAATAATAATAATAATAATAATAATAATAATAATAATAATAATAATAATAATAATAATAATAATAATAATAATAATAATAATAATAATAATAATAATAATAATAATAATAATAATAATAATAATAATAATAATAATAATAATAATAATAATAATAATAATAATAATAATAATAATAATAATAATAATAATAATAATAATAATAATAATAATAATAATAATAATAATAATAATAATAATAATAATAATAATAATAATAATAATAATAATAATAATAATAATAATAATAATAATAATAATAACCCGTTTACCTTCAAATTATTGAAGTTCTATTATTTCAGTCAAAACACCATAGTAATTAATATTCTTACCATTCGCTTCTCCTCTTACTAAAACACCACTATTTTGGGTCTTCCTCGTTTCCTCAAGTAGTTTAGTATGAAATCTAAACCCATTTATTTCATACCCCTTGAATCTTTGAACACCATCAAAAGGGCCTCTAGCCAAAGAATACAATTCATAGGTTGCGAGTTCATTTTTTTCTTTGCGCATTTGTACAATCTATACAAAAAAATATATAAATTAATGATGATAAATAAGTATCACAAATTTAATTTGAAAGACAATAAAAACTTACCCGATCAAAAAACCAATCATCAAAGTTCATGCTTTTATTACTCTGTTCATACTCACTGTAATACAAATAAGTGTACATTAATTAAAAATAAAATAAAAGATGAAGATAGGGTTAAGAAAGGTAACTTCTCTGGGAATATTTTGATGGGTAAATGGGTACACATGCTAAGTGAATTGAAAATGCAGGGAAAGGGAGATATGGTGTTGGATTTGTGTGGTCAGATGATTAGAGAGGTCAATCCGGATGAGTGTTTTGGGATAAAATCATCCCTCAAGTATAACCAAAATGTAGGGTACCTCCTTATGGTATAATAATAAACAAAAAAACATTCTTTAACTATCCTTACTTGTTACATAAATCTCAATATTTGATAGCATTCTTGTGGTTAATGAGCAACCGCTATATCTAGAACCATGTTTATGATATTTGGGAAGTCTACTGAAGGACGTAGCTAAGTAGACAAAGTATTGACTAAATCTTATTCTCGATGATTTGTCTTTCAGGTGAGATACGTAGTTGACGCTAGTGGGAGTATGACATTGAATAGAATGTAGAATGCCAAAGGAACAACACTTGAGCTACTTGCAGAGAGTAATACAACCAGAGATCAGATCACCTTTCAATCCTAATAGTATTGTATGATGTTAGCACTGAATGTGATATTTGCCCCAAATTTTACTACTGTCATACTCCTTTATAAAACTGTCTCTCTGTCCACTGACAGCAAAAAATATTTTGCTTCGTAATATGTTAAATTGTTAACTTAGACTCGGGATCTAATATAGTAAATTAGCGAATGCAATAAAAAACATACCGTAAAAATGGTTGCACTTCTTCGCAATTTCTCAAGACATAAAGATGAGCTTGTTTTCTCTCTAACTCTTCAAGATTTCTAGATGCATCTCTTAATAAAGGAGAACCTTTTCTTTCAGATACGGATAATCCACTATATGTCTTAATATGATCATCTTCATAATTCTTATCCATTCGATCATATCCTTTCACATTTCCAGGTAAGTACCTTGAACAAAATATTATACTTTCTTCAACAATATACCCTTCTATAATAGATCCTTCAGGTTGATTTCTATTACGAACATAACATTTCAATGTGCGTAAAAATCTGCAAGATATAACAAGATACCACTCAAATTAGAATGATAAATTAACAAACCACATAAAATTAAATCAAAATTTTAAATTGAAACATACCGCTCAATTGGGTACATCCACCTATATTGTACAGGTCCACCAAGTTTAGCCTCTCTTGGAAGATGAATGACTAAGTGTACCATAACATCAAAAAATGCCGGTAGAAATATTTTCTCTAATTTGCTCAATGTTATCGGAATTTGAGTTGCAAGTTGGTCCAACACATCAACTCTTAATGTTTTCGAGCACAATTCTCTGAAGAAAATACTTAACTCAGTGATAGCATCATATACATTATTTGGCACGACTCCGCGAATTGCAAGAGGAAGCAATTGTTCCAACAGAATATGAGAATCATGACTCTTCAGTCCATAAATTTTACGATCTTCTGACTTCACCCACCGTGATATATTAGAAGAATAACCATTTGGAACCTTAATCATTTTCAAGAATTTGCATACTTTAGACTTCTCATCTGCTGATAAAGAATAGCATGCTGCCGGATAACACCATCTTCCATCCCTTTGAGTTGGATGCAACTCACTTCTTATACCCATTTCCTTCAAATCATGACGAGCATTCAAATTATCTTTTGTTTTTCCTTCAATATCTAATAATGTCCCAATGATATTATCACACACATTTTTCTCAATATGCATCACATCTAAATTATGACGTATTAAATTATTTTTCCAATAAGGAAGCTTGAAAAAGATGCTTTACTTCCTCCAGTTATGAATGCCTTTACTTTTTTTGTACTTCCGTTTTTTTGGAGTCTTACCAAATTTCATGTCCTCAAGAGTAAGCAATTGGTTTAAAACATCCTTTCCAGAAAGAATTTCTGGAGCAGATCTTCTTTCTACTTTTCCATAAAAATCACGTTTATTACTCCACCACGTATGATTAGATGATAAAAATCTACGAGCACCCATATAAGAAAACTTACGACCATACCTTAATCGAGTAGATGGTGTGTCTTTGTTGCATAACGGACAAGCCAAAGCTCCTTTTGTACTCCATCCAGATAAATTGGCATAAGCGGGAAAATCATTTATAGTCCATAAGAGTGCTGCCCGCATACAAAAATTCTCTTTTCTTGAAGCATCATATGTATCGACTCCATAAAACCATAGTTCTCATAACTCATCTATCAATGGTTCTAAGTATACATCAATATCATTTCCAGGAGCTTTAGGACCAGGTATCAACAAAGATAAGAAACAATATGGTTTCTTCATGCACATCCAAGGGGGTAAGTTGTAGACAGTAGTGATCACTGGCCAAGTGCTGTGAGAAACACTTAAATTACCAAAAGGATTTACCCCATCAGATGCTAAACCAAGCTTCCTCCAATTATGAATGCCTTTACTTTTTTTGTACTTCCGTTTTTTCGGAGTCTTACCAAATTTCATGTCCTCAAGAGTAAGCAATTGGTTTAAAACATCCTTTCCAGAAAGAATTTCTGGAGCAGATCTTCTTTCTACTTTTCCATGAAAATCACGTTTATTACTCTGCCACTTATGATTAGATGATAAAAATCTACGAGCACCCATATAAGAAAACTTACGACCATACCTTAATCGAGTAGATGGTGTGTCTTTGTTGCATAACGGACAAGCCAAAGCTCCTTTTGTACTCCATCCAGATAAATTGGCATAAGCGGGAAAATCATTTATAGTCCATAAGAGTGCTGCCCGCATACAAAAATTCTCTTTTCTTGAAGCATCATATGTATCGACTCCATAAAACCATAGTTCTCGTAACTCATCTATCAATGGTTCTAAGTATACATCAATATCATTTACATGAGCTTTAGGACCAGGTATCAACAAAGATAAGAAACAATATGGTTTCTTCATGCACATCCAAGGGGGTAAGTTGTAGACAGTAGTGATCACTGGCCAAGTGCTGTGAGAAACACTTAAATTACCAAAAGGATTTACCCCATCAGATGCTAAACCAAGTCTAACATTACGAGGATCTCTAGCAAAGCCCAAATTTAATGTATCAAAATGTTTCCATGCTTCAGAGTCTGCTGGATGTCTAAGAACCCCATCTTTTGAATGTCGATCATGATGCCATGTCATGTCTGAAGCTATTTCTGGTGATATAAATAACCTTTGCAATCTTGGTTTCAAGGGAAAGTAACGCAACACTTTTCGAGGAACTTTTTTCCCAGTTTTTCCTTGAGTATCCCCATTAGTGTTTTGACCTTCAACTGATTTCCACCTAGACTCCCCACAAATCAAGCAGGATTCAGCTTTCGCATTATGTTTCCAAAATAACATACAATCATTCTCGCAAGCATGTATCTTTTCATAATGAAGACCTAAATTTTGAATCACTTTTTTTGCTCCATAAAATGACTCTGGTAAAGTTTCACCAGAAGGAAGTGCTCGTTTAAATAACTTTAGTATGCTATCAACTGCTTTACCACTCAACCCATAAAGACACTTGATTTGGAACAGTTCCACAATTAGTGATAACTTGGAGAATGTCTCGCAACCAGGATAAAGTTGTTGTGCAGCATCCTCCAATAATTTGGAAAATGTGGAAGTAGATTCTGAAGCATCACCATGTTTATACTTAACCCCACTAGAATCATTTGTGATTTCAGGACCAACAACATCATATATCATCTCAAACATATCATCACCTCGCTCTTTTCTTTTCTTTTGAGAAGGAACACCTGGTTCCTTTCCTTTTTCCTCTTGATTAACATTTTGCTTTTTAGGTGCAAATTCTCCATGATAAAGCCAACGTGTGTATCCTTGAACTATCCCAAAAATTATTAGATGTTCCTTGACTTCATCTCTAGACTTGTGGAAAACGTTATTGCATTTCTTACAAGGACAAGGAATTTCATCTTCTAGTTCTGATTGCTTAAATGCAAATTGAAGAAAACTCTCAACTCCTTTTAAGTAAACATCGCTCGATCTGTCAGTACAACGCATCCAACACTTGTCCATTTTCAAATTTCCTACAAAGAAAAATAAATAGAGAAATATATTGTTAGCATGGGTTAGGAATGTCGTCCCTGGTACAGAGGAAGAAGCACGTTGTGTGATTGAACGGATGGATGCTGAAAATTCATGAAGTCTTAGTTCTTGACTAGCATCTATTGGCAGATATGTGAGGGAAAGCAAGTCAAGGACTGAGGATACCTGATTTTGAGTTCCAAACTTGAAGCAAAGCAAAGATATGTCACAGTTATTTTAAGCAGATACTAGCTGCTCTACAAAACTAAAATCTTAGGCAAAACTTCTTCCTTGGCCGAGTCTATACCAGACAATGATTGCAGCATATGAGAGAGTTGGTTTGGTTACACGTGCTAAACATTTGTTGCATGAGTTGACGACAATATTCCTAATTCTAAGAGAGTTTCTCTTCTTATTTGGTTTAAGTGTAAAGGGAGTGTCCATGAAAATAAAAAATTATTCAACTTTATTTGAAATTTTTGAATCTAAAGCTGAAATTGGAGTTGTGTTTGATGATAGTATTTGGATTTTTTATTTTTTTTGGATTTGGATGTAATTTTTTTGTAAATGTAATTTATACCCTCATTAATTTGTAAAAATAAAATAAAAGTAAAACGTGAAAAGTAAAAAAGTGAAAACACCTCTTGAGATATTTTTCAAAACTTCAACTACAACTTCAATTTATATTTGATAACTTTATAGTCAAAAAGAAATTTGAAATAAAGTGAATAAATTATTTGAAAAAAATATATTCATGGTCAAACGCTAAATTAATTAAATAAGGTTTTGACCATGTTTCTAACCTATGCTTTTAAGAAGCGGAGCTCGGCTCACCTCAATTGTATTTACCATTGCTAGGTTAAAACTCAATCAAAGTACGGGCTCCATTAAACCCAGATCTATTTTTGATCAATTATTTCAAAAATTATTATTTGATACGAACCTATTCTATCAAAATGATACATTTTAGCGTAATTATAAATGTTCTTCAATTATATTCAGTTTTACAAACATATATACTTGTATTTTCAATATAGTATCTCTACAATATTTTCTTTTTAAGTATGCTTTGTATTATTTTACTTAATACAATATTAGTCCAAATTAGAACTCAAGATATATATATATAAAACTTGAATTCTAATATGGACTAATATTGTATATAATTTGGACTCGCTCAATTCGATACCCAGATCTATTCTTGATCAATTATTTCAAAAATTATTATTTGATACGAACCTATTCTATCAAAATGATACATTTTAGCGTAATTATAAATGTTCTTCAATTATATTCAGTTTTACAAACATATATACTTGTATTTTCAATATAGTATCTCTACAATATTTTCTTTTAAAATATGCTTTGCATTATTTTACTTAAACTAGGGGTATTTTGGAAAAATCCTCTCCGGTGAAGGGGAAGGTGAGGTCTATCTACACACTATCCTTATCAAATCCCACATGTGAAATTACATTAAATATGTTATTGTTAATTGTTATATCTAATAACTTTTGATTAAATAATTATATCAAATTAATTAAAATACAATAATTGACACTTTTTAGATCCGATAAATTGTACTTTGTAATTCGAAGTTTTTTCTTTTGTATTCTTTGATGACCAAAAATTGATTTTTTTTTCAATCAAATAATAAGAATTAGCAATTGACTTAATTTATCGGGACAATACGTTTATAATTTCCATTAATTCATTTACTTAATGATTATTGGATTTTTTAAATTGTATTAAGAATTAATAATTTTATATTGCTAATAGATAAACTAAGTATTAACTTTAAATTATGTTCACTAATTAATAAGTCATAAACTAAAATAGATTTTTTTTTAAAAATGTAATGCTTACATCACAAACTTCCGTATATGTTATGAAATAGAAAAACAAGGAATTGTATTGAAAATAGAAAATATAACAATAAACATTCGGCACCAAAAAAATGGAACAAAAACCAAAAAAATGATCTCCAAATATTTTCACACTTATTTTTTTATGC